CAACATTGACCATTCGTGTCTTTTGTAATCTTTAACAACGTACTGGGTGTGAGATGGAACCTCAGAGTTGTTGATTTACATTTCTCTTACTAATGATTTAACTCATTCTTTCATTTGGTTCTTAATAGGTTGTAATTCTTACTAGGAAATGGCATTTCCTAATGAGTTTGGCATTATGGCAGCTGGGTGATACAGTAGACTTAGAATCAGGAAGACCTGAGTTTGAATCTGATTTCAGATTATTACCTAGCTATCTGATCCTGCGCAAGTCACTTAACCTCTGTCTGCCTCAGTTCCGTCATCTGTAAAATGAGGATAATAACAGCACCTACCTTCCAGGATTGTCATAAGGACCAAATGAAATTATATTTTTAAAGTGCTTTACAAACCTTTAAGCGCTATATAAATGCTACTGTAACTTGTCATTTCTGTTGTCTGTATATCTTGAATATCAAACCTTATCAGAAATATTTTATAGGAAGATTTTTTTTCTCCATTACTTGTTTCCTTTATCCTAGATGTTTTAATTTTATGTAAAAGCTTTTCAACTTCATGTAATCAGTCATCCTTTTTATCTTTTGTAATTACCTTTATCCTTGTTAGGTTAAGAATTCACCCTCTAGGGGCAGCTAGGTGGCGCAATGGATAGAGCTCCAGCCTTTGAGTCAGGAAGACCGGAGTTCAAATCTGGCCTCAGACTCTTGACACTTACTAGCTTTGTGACCCTGGGCAAGTCACTTATCCCCATTGCCTAGCCCCCCCACAAAAAAAAATTCATCCTCTACCCATGACTATAAAAAATATATTATCTCTTTTTAAAATATTTTTACACTATAATCATGTATCCATTTTCAACTTGTTGTGGAATATTGTATAGGATGTTGATCTAACCCTCATTTCTGCCAAACTGCTTTCTAGTTTTCCCAATGGTTCTTATCAAATACAGAGTTTTTTTCATAGGTAATTTATGCTTTCAGGTTTATCAAACACTAGTTTATTGGAATACATTATTTCTGATTCTTTCTTGTCTAGTCTATTCCATTGATCTACTTTTCCTTGATCTGACCACTTCCAAATGGTTTTAACAATTGCTGCTTTAGGATATAGTTTGAGGTCTGGAAGTGCTATTCTCCCTTCATTGCTACATTTCCCCCCTATTATTTGCTTTGATATTCTGGATGTTTTGTTCCTTTAAATGAACTTTGTTCTTATTTTACCTAACTCTGTAAAGCATTCTTTTGGTATTTTGATTAGTGCATCATTAAATCTGTGAATTAACTTTAGTAGTATTGTCATATAAATTATATTGGATACTCCTGCAGCTATTTAAGTTGTTCTTTATTTCTTTGAGGAACATTTTGTAATTTTTACTACAAGTATTTTATTATAAATATCTTTTAAAATCCATACAAGTATTGAGTATGCTTTAGTTACTTTACTCCCAAATATTTTATTCATTTTGTAGTTATTTAAGCGTGTGTGTGTATATATATGTATATATATATTATATTAATTTAATTTACGTATGCACATATATTCTTGTTTAATCTTCATATTAATCATATGAGGTAAGAGCTGTATTATTCCCATTTTACAGATGAGGGAAAGCTCACATAGCTAGTAATTTCTGAGATAGGATTCGAACTCTGGTCTTCTTCACTCTATTTTAAAAATTTTATTTAGTTATTTTTATCACTTTCTTTTTAAATTTTGAGTTCCAAAATCTTTCCCTCCCTTCCATCCTCTTCCCTACCCACTGAGAAGGCAAGCAGTATAACAGTTTTACATGTGAAATCATGCAAAACATATTTCTACATTAGCCATATTTTTTTAAAAGCAAGAAAAATTAAAAAGTAAGAAAATTATACTCCAATTTACATTCAGAGTTTATCAGTTCTTTCTCTGGAGGGAGACACCTTTTTTCACCATGGGTCCTTTGGAATTGTCTTGGATCACTGTATTGATCAGAGTAGTCAAGTCTTTCACAGTTGATTATCATTACAGCCTTGCTGGTGTTATACACAATGATTTCCTGTTCTTCTCACTTCACTTCGCATCAGTTTATATGGGTCTTAATATGTTTTTCTGAAGCCACCCCCTCATCATTTCTTATGGCATGATAGTACTTCATCACAATTATATGCCACAACTTATTCAGCCCTTCTTGACTTAAGGAGCATCCCCTCCATTTCTAATTCTTTACCACCACAAAAAGAGCTGATAAAAATATTTTTGTACATATAGGTCCTTTGCCTTTTTCTTTGATCTCGTAGGATGCAAACCTAATGGTGGTATTGCTGGGTCAAAGGGTGTGCAGTTTTATAACCCTTTGGACCTAGTTCCAGTTCTTCTCCAGATCATTGGACCAGTTCACTACCCCAACGTCAGTTCACTAGCGTACCTATTTTTCCCTCATCCCCTCCAGTGTTTGTCATTTCTGATTGGTATGAGGCAGTACTTCAGCTTAACTTACATTTCCTAATCAGTAGTGATTTAGAATATTTTTCACATGATTACAGTTAGCTCTGATTTCTGCTTCTGAAAACTACTTGCTAATATCCTTTGACCATTTATCAATTGGTGAATGGCTCTTATTTTTATCAATTTGACTCAGTTCTATACCCAGTATATATTTGAGAAATGAGGTCTTTATCAGAGAAACTTGCTATAAATTTTTTTTTATATTACTTCATTGACTGCGGTACCTTTTAGCAAAATGTAGTTGCCCTGATTTTGTCCTTTTAATTTCATGTATTTTTGCTTTTGCTTTATCTGAGATCATGATTGCTACCCCTGCCTTTTTTACTTCAGCTGAAGTATATAAATAGACTCTGCTCCAGCCCTTTATTTTAACTCTGTGTATGTATCTTTCTGTCAAGTCTGTCTCTTATAAATAACATATTATTGGATTCTGGTTTCTGGTCCATTGTGCTATCTGCTTTCGTTTTATTGGGTGAGCTCATTCCATTCATATTCATAGTTATGATTATTAAGTGTATATTTCCCTTTTCTCTCTCTTGTACCTCCTCCCTTTCTCTTATCCCTTTCCCCTCCAATTTCCATATTGGGTGGGTTACATTTCTATACCCAACTGAATATGTATGTTATTGTCTCTTTGAGCCAGTTCTGATGAGAGTAAGGTTTAAGCGTTGCCTACTACCCCCTCTTCCATCTTCCCTTTCACTGTAAATGTTCTTCTTTGCATGCCTCTTTTATGTGAGAAAATTTTCCCCATTCTACTTCTCTCTTCCCCTTTCTCCCAGTGCATCCCTCTTTCTCACCCCTTCGTTTTTTGGAGAAATTATTCCAACATAATCAACTTACACCCATGCCCTCTGTTTATGTAAACTCCTTTTAACTACCCTAATAATGATAAACTTCTTAGGAGTTACATGTGTCATCTTCCCATTAGGAATGTAAACAGTTTGACTTTGAGTCCCTTATGATCACTCTTTAATATTTACCTTTTTTATACTTCTCTTGAGTCCCATTTGTATGTCAAATTTTCTATTCAGCTTTGGTCTTGTCATCAGTATTGCTTTACAGTCCTTTATTTCATTAAGTATCTACTTTTTCCCCTAAAGGATTATACTCATTTTTGCTGGGTGAGTGATCCTGGGAGAGGTGTGGCCACTGGTCTGCACTCTGGGCCCGTGGGCCCCTGCAGCTGCATGCACTAGCATTCTTTTCTGCCTTGGTACTGTGACCAGGGCTCCTGCTACCTTGTGACTGACTGCTCTCCACCCTAGAACTGTGACCCAGAACTGTGTATGGATAATAGAGTTGCCAGTCAATGCCAGTTGTACCCAGTGCCAGCAAAGGTCCCCTGTAAACTCTTTCTGAATAGTCGTCTGACCCCCTCACCATTTTTAAGCTTAGGGCTTCTGAAACTACTGCTGCTGCTGCTGCTGCTGTTGCCACCACCATGTGTGTGTCCAGACAGAACTCCATCAGATGATTCCCCTCTTCCCACACTGTTACAGACTTCTCCTGCTGAACTTTTAAGTTTTCTTCAGCCAGAAAAATACCTCACCCCAACTTTTTGTTTGCTTTTCTGTTCTAAAGTTTGATTTGAGGCATTATTTTAAAGTTGTTTGGAGGGGAATGTTGGGAAAATTCGGCTGGGTGGCTGTCTCTAGTCTGCCATCTTGGCTTTGCCCATTTTGGAGTTATTTTGAATGAGGTTCCCCTTTTTATTATTGTCTGCTGGATTTTGTTATCTTATTGAAAAGCTATTGATTTCATTAATTAGAGCCAAGTTGTAGAAAGCCTTGATTGTCAGGCAAAGGAGTTTGGACTACATCCAGTAGGCAATTGTGAAAGATTTTTGAGCGGATATATAAAGCATTTAAGTACTTACTATGTACTAGACACTATGCTAAGTGCAAGTAATAAAAGCAATAAAAATGCAAGTAAGCAAGACAGTCCTTGCCTTCATAGAGCATACATTCTAATGGAGGAAGACAGTATATTAAAGGGAGCTAGAAAGGTTGGAGGGAGAGGGCGTACAGTGTGAAGACATCCAGGAAGTGGCATGGAAGCCTGGTAAGGTCAAAGCTTACCTGTCAGAGCCCAAGGTGGTTCCAGGGGAGGAATCCAAGTTTCATTCAGGGAGGATGGCCAGATCCCTAGTTGTTAATGGCATGATGATTTAAATGAAAACTTCTAGGGAATCAGCAGAGAAACTGAGAGCTGGTATGGATGTGGCCAAGAAGATGGAGCAGGAAAATGACATGATCACAATTATGTTGGAAGTTATTGGAAGATCAGTCTGTCAGTGTGTGCACTGTGGATTGGGGGGGGGGAAGAGATCTCTGTGTACACAGAGTATGAGGGGAAGAGCCATGGGGATAAGGCTGTAAAAATAAGTTGACTCCAGATTGCAGAAGGCCTTAAATGCCAAGCTAAGCACTTTATCCCGAAGAAGGCAGAGAGATACTAAAAGAGTTTTGAGCAGTGGATTTGACTGAATTTGATTTTGCTTTTCCTTTTCTTCATAGGGTATATCCATGGCTTAGAGGACTGGGTTATACATCCTTAGGCATATTTTTAATGGGATTTTTCCTTTGGAATGTAGACAACATCTTTTGTGAGTCACTGAGGTAAGAAAAAACAATTACATTTTTTTCCAGAAGCATGGCAAATATAAAATGATGTGTAATTTTAAATATTACATGTATGTATCCTCTGCCTCACAGAGCTGATTTGATAAAAGTGCTTTGGAAGCCTCAGAGCACTAAAGAAACCTGATTGTCATGCAGTGTATACATTTTTGACCTACCTATTTGTCACATTTTGAATATAATTTAAAAGTTTTACTCTAAATCTACTGGAAAAATATGGTAGCAGACCAAAGCACTATTTTAATAATAGAAGAACAGAGGGACAATTCTGATTTCAATGTCGGCTAAAGTTTGGGGGTGATCACAACCAGCTGGAGGTATCAGTGCTGTAAATATTAGTGCTTCCCGTTGTGCACAGGAGGAGTCTGGGGCCCTAGAAAGTGACCTGCCTGGCATCACAGAGTTGGAATGTGCTGGAGATAAAATGCAAACTCAGGCTTCCAGTTTCTAGTCAATATTATATGTAGTTTGGTCATAAAATTAAGATCCCAGCTGAAGAATACAAAGGTAGCTGAGGGAATATGAAGCCTTACTCCCATGAATTCATAATATCCTGCCTCATTTTACTTTAGTTGTGTTACCTATTGAATAAGACCAACAGTGCATTTCTCAACCAGGAGATGGTTTTAAATGGGGCATGAACAAAGAATGTGTCAAAAGTCCTGAATATTTATTCAAGAATTTATTTATTCTGAATAATTATATTCTTTGCTATGCATGAAAAACACATGCTTGGTAGTCCCCAGGACTGTATCAGCAGGTGCTATAATTGCATATTTTTGTGGTTATAATTGGTTTGTTCTATTTTTCCTCCTCACAGGAGCTTTCGAACAAAGGTTCCACCTTTTGTGGGTGTTTTTACACAGTTACATGCTTGGTGGCACATTCTTACTGGCCTTGGCTCTTATCTTCACATCCTTTTCAGGTATGAAATAGAAATTTGTGGGAGGAGGAAAGAGGGGAAACCATAGCCAATGTAGTAAAGTTGGATGTGGGTGTGGGTGTATTTCCTCTATGTTATACTACAAACCCCTTGAGAGCCAGGATATATGGAACAGAGCTTTGGATCCTCAAGCCAAGTGCAACACATGGAAGTAGATGCATAGTATGGATTGATTGATTTGGATTACCTGGTCAGGGCTGGCCATTCAGCTTTCCTTTAATATCCTCATGTGAATTAGAGAATCTGATTATTCCTAGCATAAATGAGGACCTAAGAAGCGGGGAAAAGATTAGCAGTTGCTGAATGTAGGCTGGCTTAAAAATCTGAACCTAGATGGGATGGCAGACCTAGCTGGGGCACTCTGACTATGATATGAACCAAACCAAGTATTTGGGAGGGAATTGAACTGATCAGGAGAAGAGAAAATGAAAGCACTGAAAGGGAGAAGGGAAAGGTAGTAAGTACTTCATCTGCTCCACAGTTTTCCTTAAAACCAGCTCTGGGCAAAGAAGCAAACTTAAAAGGTCTTACTTAGCATCTTATTGATTCAGTAGCTCTATCCTCTTATCCTTCCCCCCAAACCCTTACTCTCGCAGACTTCCTTTCTGCTGGAGAGGATGCCACCATCCTTCCAGGCTCACAACTCATTTGCTGAAACTGAAGTCTGGCCAGCTCACCCCACACCCTACTCAGTAAACTCCAGTGGTTCCCTGTTACCTCTAGGATAGATCCTTTTGTTTGAAATTTAAAGCCTTTCACGACCTTGTCCCTTAGAGCCCAGTTTCTAGCCTTCTTACATTCTGCCTCCCTCTACATCTTCTGCTGTCCACCCAAACTAGTCTGCTTGCTGCTTCTCACGCTCCATCTCCCATCTGCATACCTTTGTACTGGGTGTCTTCCACGCCTGAAAGGCTCTCCCTTCTCGCCTCTGTCTCTTGGAATCCCAGGCTTCCTTGAAGACTCAGCTTCAATGATACCTTTTGCAGGAAGGCCTTTCCAGACTTCCCATCTGCTACAGCCTTCCCCTCCAAGGCTGACTTTCATCTCTTCTGTATGTATCTTGTACGTACCTAGTTATTTAAATATTGTCTCCCCTAATCAGAATGCAAACTCCCTGAGGATAAGGACAGTTTTAGCCTTTCTTTTTATCCCAAGGACTTAGCACTGAGCCTGTTTAGAACAGGGTAGCAAGACTTATATTGTTTGCCTCATGGAATTTCTACAAAAAGCTTTATAAAACACTATACAAATATGAACTATTTTATTAATAAATTAATTATTCTGTTAATGTAAATAATTTATTTTGGGGGATAAGTTTTTAGCTATTTCAAAAGTTCTAATTAATCTTAAAATCTTTATTTTTAAAACATTCTCACTCTTATTTTTACTTTACTCCTATTTAGAAGATTTTTGTTTTTTTAGACAACTTTCCTTTGGATCCTTAGGAAAAATAGCCTCAATAGCCCCAGTGTGCTTGATGGAACAGGGTGTTCTGGTAAACATCTCCTTAGTAGGAAACAGATAGTTTCTTTCAGTCTCCTGGTTTGAGCAGCCCATGTCTCAATAACAAGGTTTTCCTGCCTGCCGAAAGTCAATTAGTGCTGACACATACTCCACAGATGAGGCCCAGCTTCCCAGGAGAACGTAATAGAGGAAACATTTGAAATCAGTTTATATAAGAGCTGGTGCATCTCAGAATACTCTTGGTGGCCACAGATACCTTTTCTGCCTTAGGGACTTTCTAGTTAAAATGGTAGCAGCTTCACATGGAGTATCCCATCCAGGTCTTTCTTCTTTGGCTCTGTAAGCCCCAGACCTAGAGGACTTTCTCTTACCCTCTCTTTCTTACTTCAGTTCCCCCATCCTGTATGTCTACATGACCCAGCTATGTCCATCCCCTTTGAAATGGGATTCAAAATTGAAAAGTAAAATATGGATATTTGCATTCCTAACCCTTCTTGTACTTTCTCCTCTTCTGTCATTGTAATTTCTTATTGATATTTTCTGGTTTTACATCCCAATCATTTCAAGATATGCCTTTCCTCATGCTTCCAGTGAGCCACCTCTTGTAGCAAAGAAAAAAATTAAGCAAGAATAGCCAACAGATCTGACAGTTGTGGCAGCATATGCAGCATTCCTCACCTGTAGCCCCTTGCTTCCCCATTCCTTGGTTAATATTAGCCACCTTCTGACTCATTTTCAAAAACTGACCATAGCCAATGACATCTGCAAACACTAGATCAGGATTTCCAAGTGCACATGGGAAGTCTCCAAGCTGGCTACCCTAACCCCTCCTTGTCTACCAAGATAACCTCTCCATGCTTGCTTTACCATGGACATGTCATTTTACTTTTTCTATCCTCTATTTCCTTCTCCATAAAATGACAGGGCTTGGTTTTAGGAACACTAAGATCCTTTCCAGTTCTCGAATTCTATAGCCTAAGGCTGCTTTCAGCTCTGATAGTCTGTGTTGTAACACCTCCTCCAGCTCTCCTATCCTCTTTTCCCAGGGAAGGAGAGAGAAGCCTTCCCCTTCCTTGTGTGGTCAGCACCATTACCTCCTCAGAAACTTCAGTGGGAGCACTCCTTCCCCTTCTAGCCCACGTTGCATACTGACTGCACTCAATACACAGGAATACTGATAACATAAGTCTGATTGGTATGGGTCATGACTCAGAAGCAGCCTTGCACAATGGAAAGAATTTTATTGTGGTTCAGTCTCATCCAATTCTTGTGACTCCATTTGGGGTTGTCTTGGCAAAAATACTGAAGTGTTTTGGCTTTTCCTTTTGCAGCTCATTTTGCAGATGAGGAAACTGAGGCAAACAGGGTAAAGTGATTTGCCCAGGGTAACACAGCTGGTAAATGTCTGAGGCCAGATTTGAACTCAGGAACATAAGTCTTTCTGACTCCAGGCCCAGCGCTCTATCCACTGTACCACCTAGCACCCCCGTAGAAAGACAAGCATCCTGATTCTGCTACTTACTGGGAAAGTTTTTTCCCCCCAGGGCCTTGGTATCATCATTTGTAAAAGAAGGTGGTTGAGCAAAATATCTTAACATCACTTCTGTCTCTTAATCTATAATCCTATGATCCCTCAAACTATGATATGTTGTGAGTCTGTGATTCTTGACTTTAGAGTCAGGACACCTGGGTACTCTGACTCTGCTGTGTCTTAAGTTGTTTTGTCTTAAGCCAGGCCCCAAAGCTAGTGTTTATATTCCCTTCTAGAGAGGGAACAGAAAGGGCTGAGTGTTTATCTCACTTCCATGACGCTTGAATGTTCATAGTCTCATTCAGAGGACACAGCAAGAACATGGACAGGAAGACAAAGGAGATGTTAGGTTGCCCTGATTCTGGTAACATTTTTATGGTGGACTTTATTCAGTTTCAGTTAAGGAAGCACACATTAAGCACCTAATGGGTTCAAAGCACTGCTCTTGATGATGAGGGAATCCACAAAGGGTTTTGATACCAATCCTGAAGATTGAAGTTCCCCAACATATGTTTTGTGCGTCAGAGAGGTACAGAGGGCTCTGCTGCATGAAGTCCAATTTCTGTATGTTTCCAAGGTGGGAAATGCACTCTTCTTCCTCGGCTCTTTCTCAGAGATGGCACTGGAGGCATCAGTGACAGCTAATGACAACTAGACTCTCTTTGAGGATAATTGGAGGCCCTCGTTGGGGGCACAGACTAGATTATTCAGTCTCAGGGCACTTAACTTGATAGCTTGCCGTGACAGTTTCTTGAAAACAACCCTAAAGAGTAGAGCTCGACAATTTTTTAACAACTATACTTTAAATTCATAGGAAAAACACTCTCAGTGATTCCATTGTTGTAACCCTATACTTAGTGTTCTGGTAAACTTCTCCTAGGTAAACTTCTACCTAGGCAGCAAGATTTAAGTCCACTACTTTGAGCAGCCCACAAACATAGCTTGAAACCAAGGTTTTCTTGCAAAAATTAATTATTGTCAGTAACATGGGGGCCAACTTTCAAAGTAGCATAATGGGGTGTGAGAGAACATGGGGAGAAGAGCTTGAAGTCATTCCCAGAAAGATCTGGATTTATTGTCCTCTTTTATAGATGAGGAGACAGAGTGGTAAAGTGCTTTGCCCATAATAACACAGCTTTGTGTCTGTACTTGGACTAGAACCGGGGGCTTCTAACTCCAATTCCAGCACTCTCATGACCTTCTTCATCTTTTCCAGCAAACCTCGCATAGCAACTTGTTCCTTTAAATTCACTTTAATTCATCCAGTATCTACTAAGGGCTTACAACCTTCTGGGCACTGGTGATACAAACTCAAACATCCCTGTGCTCTAGGTGATTCTGTTCTTCTGGAGAAAACACCCTGCAGGATGGACACAGAGAAATCAACACCAAAACGTATACAGTTATATCTGTGGAAGAGAATACCATCAACTGAGAGATCAGGAAAAACCTTGTGAAGGAAATAACACATGCCTTGAGCTGAACTAGAGAATCCAAGAGAGAAAAGTGAGAAAGGAGAGTGTTCTCAGCATGAAGGGCAGCCTGGCCAGAGGCCTGAAGACAGAGGTGGAATGTCCTGTATGCAGAACAGCATAGTTGTGCCCAATTGTATTGAAACAGAGAGTGCATAAGGGAGAGAAATGTCAAGTCATTCTAGAAAGATAAATTGGGGCCAGATTGTGAAGGTATTTGAGTCAGTCAATTGACAAGTATTTATTAAGCACTGTGTACTTTGTGCCAGGCCCTGTGCTTATCACTGGGGTTATGAAGACTCCCCAGGGCAGTGAATAAAATCACACCTAGTTATGCAGGGCTTTAAATGACAGAATTTGTATTTTAACTTAGAAGCTAAAGCAAATCACTGGAGCTTTTTGAGCACATAGGAGTGAAATATTGGTGCTTTAGGAATAGCTGATTTTGTACCTTTGTAATGTGATCAAGTCACTTCACCCTGTTTGCCTCAGTTTCCTCATCTGGAGAAGGAAATGGCAAACAGCTCCAGTCTCTTTGCCAAGAAAACCCCAAATGGGGTCATGAAGAGTCAGACACGACTGAAAATGACTGAACAACAACAAAATATAATCATGTAATACTGTGTTTCTCCTTCCCTGCATTGATTTCTGTCAAGAGCACCATCATCCATCTTTCTGGGTACCCAGACTTACAGCTTGAGAATGATTCTTATTTTCTTACACTCCCACACTCCATAACCATCTCACACTTCTCTCCATTCGCGCCATCACCGCCCTTATTCTGGTTCAGGGCACTTCCCACCTAGACAATTACAGCAGCTTTCTAATTAGTTTCCCTGCCTCAAGTTTCTCCTCTGTCTGGCCCATCCTCCACACACCTGCCAAACTGATCTTCCTCCCCTATTCAGTAAGCTCCCCTATGACCTCTAGGATCAAATACAAATCCCTTTTTAATTTTGTCTTTGACAGCCTGTCTAAAGTCTGCCTTTCTGGGCTTGTGACACATTGCTTCACGTAATGCACTCTGTGGTCCAGTCAAACTGGCTTTCGTACTGTTATTCTTCATGCACAAAATAAAATCTCTCCTCTCCATGCCTTTGCATGAGCTATCCCCTGTACCTCAAATATATTCTTCCTCACCTTTGCCTCATAGAATCCCTGGCTACCTTCAAAGTTCAGCACAAATGCTACTTCCTCCGTGAGGCTTTTCCTGATACTCACTCCCTAACGCCTCCCCTCAGAAATCACCTCGAGTCTATTTAGCATATACTTATATGTCTGAAAAATAGATATCAATTCACTATAAGGAAAAACTTCCTAACAATTAGAATTGTCTGAAAATGGAAAGGGTTGTGCCACATGAGACCGCAAGTTTCTCATCTCTGGAGTTTTTCAGAGACCAAATGATTATTTGGTAGGACTGTTGTAGAGGGCCCCACTCAGCTGTGGATTGGATTAGGTCATAAGAGGGAAAGGGGTTTGCCTGAAATCATGCAGGAAGTAAGTAGCAGCACCAGCCTCTTCCAAATTGTGATTTTCTGTAATTCTGACTCTGAAATGCCCTTTTCTTTCCCTTTCAGTTTATACACAAGGACACTTTATCTGCGGTATAGACCAAAGGTGAAGGTAAGTCCTAGTCAGTGTGCATTTGAATACAAGAATTCCCTGTAGCTTAGTCTACACTAAGTGTAAGAGCTTTGTATCTATCTACAATGGCTGGAGACAGCGGCACCCCAATTTGGCCACTCTCAGACAGACCATTGCTATTAACCACAGCTTGGTTCTTAAGATTCAGCCAAGATCCCCTGATGCTGTAGACTAGGTAGGATGTTCTAACTCACCTTTTTCTAGGACTTGTATTGAAAGACAGTTTTTCTTCTTTCTCTCTCCTTACCTGAATAGTTTCTCTTCGGGATATGGCCCGTGATCCTGGTTGAGCCACCCAAGAAACATTTATGAAAAGAGGTTCCATGAAGAAAGCACAACTGCCCACTGCTGGCTTCGTTGCCTTGGGAAGATAATCCCAAGACTCTTCAAGCTTCCATATTAAATAATGTACCAGCCCTTATGGTAAAAGGAGGCGTCTTTGACCAACACCACCAGGCCAGAAACAGAGTGAGAAGTGGGCGTACTGGGGACTTAGTGTGTCTTTCTCTCCCTTATAGTGTCTAAAAGGACCCGATGTGATGTTCATGTATGTATTGAAGTGCTGCAGAAATTGGGCTTCTTTAATGAGCTAGTCACTAGTCCTAGTCCAGTGGTCGCTGGACAGTGACCTTTTTCCCCTTTGATGTGGACTGAATCTGATAACATGTAACTTTTCTCTCTGATTTCTAAATGAATATGCAATTGAATAATGGAAATTGTTAACTGGAGTGGAGCCAGACTAAGTATTTATCCAGATGCTTAATAGTGAACATAATGCTTAGCTACATCGCCCTTCATTCAGATACTTGTTGAAGGAAACTTAGAAGGTTTGTTGCCAAGGTGAAGGGGTCCAGCTGTAGGACTGGGTTCAGCTCCATGCCTTGAACCAAGAGGTAGGACATGTTGTCTCTGCTGTCATTGGGAGCCATGCATTCTAGCTCACTCCTGCCACCACAGCCTGACATCTGTCACTTCATCCCCTACAGCCCATTGTACAGGCACTTTCCACATATTGTTGACCTATAGAGGGTCACAGATTCACAGTGTCACTACTTACATCACAACCAGGGCCCACCGTAACACTGGGGACACCCATTAATGTCATTTTGGCCAATGGCCCAAGTCACAAATTGGTCATCTGACATTCTTCTGGCTAGTACTTAACCGCAGCAATGTTAGTTACCTTCCTGTAACCCTTGGGAATGTGGTTTCACCTTATGAGGAAGCTGTGCCAAACAAAGCCCAGCACATCAGGGTTCGAGCTGGATATTCAGGCTGTGATTTCTTTTTCTTCCTCAAGCTAATTAAATGTATCCACACTGTTGCCTCCAGCTCCTCCTAGTCTTTGTAGATCCTCTTTACTTTTGCCTCCTGCTTGTGGTCTAATCAAACATGGAGCAGGTGTGCCTCTGCTCTATCTAGCTTTATTCCTGTGCTCCCATTATTTGCAGCTCCAGAAAATATCAGTGAATGACATACACTGGCTTTTAAAAGTATTTGGTAATCATAAATTCTCTAAGAGATATGAGACTCACAGTGAAATTTGCAGGGGGTGAAATCACCAGGAGCTTCTTGTGTGGAAAACACCTCCATCTGCCTGCTCCTCTTTGCATCTGAGGGAGATAGGCCCACAGCTTGAGAACAGCCTGAGGCAGCACCAGAAGTGGATTTCGCAGCGACAGGCAGCTCATTCTTCTGGGATTTGAATGGGTGACCCCCAAAGTCAGCAGAAGGCTTACCTGCCAGGACACCTTTGCCTAAAGGGGTGTTAGCAAATGAATGGTAACATGCTCGCTTCCTCAAAAGCTGGTACTCCAAGAGAGGATCTTCTGGGTCCTCTTATTCAATCTAGTGGTTAAAGACCTTGACCATTTTTACAGTATTAAATAAGTGACCTTAAGACAAAATTAAAAGAAACCTATTTCTGGTTTTGGGGAATTTATTTTAAATGTTTTACTGGATGACTTTTTGTTGCTTTTAAAGTTTTTATTTTCGCATTTTCACTCATCCCAGTGGCCCTCATTTTCTGCCCTTCAGTACATCAGTGCCGCTTTCTTTCTCTTGGTCCAGTTCATCAGCAGGTTGAGCCCTGTCTAGATTTTGTTCATTTTCCTTCCAGGAGACAAAACCTTAAACTTGAATGTGAGAGGAAGCTTTGGCTCTGGTTCTCTGTGCCTTAGAAGGCTGAAACATTGAAGAATTCCACATAACACAAGTCATTTCTCTGCCTCCTGCCTTGGGAACACTGAAAATTGCCTCTTCTATCCCATCTTCAGCTAAACAAATGGTTAGCTCTTCTGGATCTGTTCTTGAAAAGAGTTGTGGACTTAGAGTCAGAAGACCTGGGTCTGCCAGTTACTAGTCACCTTAGGCAGATCACATCCCTCCTCTGAGCCTCTCAGTATTCATATCTGTTTAATGGGAATAATGATTAACTTACCCTTGCAGGGTTATTGTGGGAAAACATTTTGTAAACAGTAGAGCACCATATAAATGTGAGCTACTTATATTATTTCTCTGCTCTGCACTCTCTTCTATACCTAACAATACGCAGTACTATATCTGTGATCAAGGGAACAGAATGAGAGCCTTCCTAAACTTGCCAGTGCCATGGTCAATAAGGATTTGAACATGTTAACTCACCTCTCTGTAGCACTTCACAACCTACCAAGGTGCCATCCTCCCAGCCTGAAATGGGTGGTTAGGACCTTGACCTCTCACCCTCTATTGAAATTTTTCTTCTCCTTCAAGGTGCAGCTCAGATGCCCCCTCCTCCATGAATCTTTCCCTGAATCCTTCAGCTTGCAGTGATCTTATCCTCCGTAGATTTTCACAGAGCCCCTTGTGTCTCCTTTGTCCCCATCATACACTACCTGGTATCATGTTTATATCATAACTGTTAGGCTCTAAGCTCCCTGAGAGCAAGAATTGTGTTGTCATCCTCATTCATATCCCTAGTGCCTAGCACAGTGCTTGACCACAGGGCATGCACCAAAATGGTTACACTAACAAGTAAGGTAAGCAGTGTAAAAGTTCCCTGTTTTACGGATAAGGAAACTGAGGATCATAGCGATGTGCCCAACGTTAGCCACTCTCGGAGGTGGCTCGAATGCCAGTTCTCCCTTAGTTCAGGTTCGACATAAGATTGGAATGAGGTCCTCAGAAGTCATTGAACATTTGACACGAGGAATGCTGCAGTTTAAGAATGCTGCAAAGGGCCAGGCTGCTTCAGCTGATGCCGGGCACTTTCTTTTTAATCAATAAAGCAAAATAGAGATATGATAAAAAGTTTTATTTCAAAGTGAAATTATAATAACATTTTTGCATCAGTTGATGTGCCTAGTCCTTCTAGTGTTAACCAAAGGTTTGCTCTGCCCTAACACAGCAAGGACATGAGACAGGGATATGGCGGCACTTCACTGGATGTGGCCGCCTCTCTTCATCAGGGCAGGATATGGTGAAGGACATGATGACTCTTGGTCTTCAGAAATCCACCATGTCTTAGGGCCCCCACTGCCCGTGACTGAGGCTGTTTATGTCTTTAGATGACCAGGCTATGGAGGGGAAGCTGAGGCAAACCGGGTCCCAGACAAAACTTTGTCTCCTTTTAGGGAAAGCTCATCCATGTTGAAGAACAGAAACCTAAGCCTAACCCATATTGAGAGGGGATGAGGGGGGAAGAGAAGGGAAGAAGGTTTGTCAAGGAAATGTCACTCCCACCTACCTCTAAATCAGAAACAGTATTCAAGCCCAGGCCCAGTGAAGGGCTTCTTATCATTAAGGAGTTGTTTATTGATAGCGTAAGTGATGCCATTTATTCATCCCAGAAATGTATATAATATGTTTATCACCCCTGGTCACACACAGTGGGACTCTGTTGTCCTTAGGGTTATTTCTATATTTTGTGTTTCTCTCTCTCTCTCTTTCTCTCTCCCTTTCCCTCTCCTTCTCCCTCCCTTTCCCTCTCTCTTCCTCTCTCTCCCTCTCTCTCCCTCCTTCCCTCCCTCCTAAAAGTCAGAGGATTGTGCATGTTAAGGGACTTCAGGATTATTGAGAAAAAAGGAAGAATTCAAGCCCATGACCATAGGAAGTTGTCTTTTGTTATTTTCCACATCAGTTTGTGCCTCTGGCTTCATTCTTTTTAGCACTCTTAAGTCCCAAGATGCCACTGATTTCTTACCATGTTGTAGAAATGACTCCAGCTTTTCCAGAGATTCTGACAGGTCCAGCCAGAAAGGCTTTTGAGAGCTAGCAAAGAGCTAGAGACACTTGTGTGTATGTGTGTCATCTGGAAACCAAGATCAAGGAAGCATTCTTCATTGGAGGACTGACCACCTTGGGACAGATTTGGGGAGGGGGAAAGGCCACAGTGTGTCATAAAGACAATCTAAAAATGATGTCCCTCCAATAAAGCCTCCAGTGCCACTTCCTGGTGTGGAGGTTACCACGCCTCATAGGCTATACTGGGAGAACAAAAGGTCTGGCAATTCTACCAAGCTGGAAGGACATGGAGCACAGGCTTGCCAACCAACCCTGTATCTGTTTAGCACCAGAAGACTGGCTACCAGGTGGAGAACTTTTTAGCTATTGCAACTCATTTCCTGAATACCATCAACTCAGCCTTAAGAGCAACTAAGGCATAGAAGGGTTTTTCAGCTTTGACAGAAGGAACTCCACCCCCCACCCCCCACTTTGATGAAGTACTGAATATGCAGAGGAACGGTGGTTTTTAGCAGCATGGTAGACTTTCACTGTGGCAGTTCCTTCTACCAATGCAGATGCTAGCCTGTCCATGATTTAGTAGGATCATAGGATAAATCCTAGGAAGTTGCCTGGGACACTTAGAGATTAAATTACTTACCTAAGGTCATCCAAGTAAGTGGTAAGTGTCAGAGATGGAATTTGAACCTGTCTTTCTGCCAGACTCCAAGTGCAGCACCCTAGCCACTACATCATACTACCTCTACTATATGTGCTTCCATATTTCAGCAACATTAAGTTCTCTTTTTTTAAGGTGTGAGTGGAGCTTTCAGGGAGATGGGATAGCTGTTGTTTTTAAACTTTCTATGTTCCCTTTGGGAATTGTTTGTATACCTCATAGAGCCCCAATACTTAGAAACCCATTTCCTGTTGAGTAAAATATCTTTGTGTTCACATGCTAACAGGCCCACTGTGAATGATTCCCGTCAATGGACAGGGAGCCCAGCTGCACATTTCACCACGGAAACTGATAAACCATCATAGGGCTGTTGAGGGAGCTATTTTCTAGGCTTAACATCATTTCTGTGCCATGATTGACCACTGTGGGTTTGGATTTCCAAAGTGTGTTGGGTCTTTCCTAATGGGGAATGGGGGCCATGCAGAGCAAAATACTCTCTGCTTTTACCAAACACCACCTCCACCTGCAGAAATGTTTTGTTATCACTTGAATGCTCTGATATGGTTTGGCCATGAAGTCAAACATCCACCCAGGAGCTACTAAAAGTTTAACATTGACTACTACAGAGAGAGAGAGGACAAAGTCTCTTCTTCCTGCTTCAGCACCACCACTCCCTGCCTCACTCTGTACACCACATTGTGTGTGTGACTCAGCACACCCGTTTTAGGTGTTTTAGATCGACAATGAGGATTTATCCAGTGCCTTTAAATGATGGCCAACATATTCACTAGGTTTGGGGTTTTTTTTCAGGAGATGTCCGTATCTGACTTGGAACCATATTAGCTGCCATTTTTATAACACTTTAAGGGCTACAGAACATTTACTTCATCACAATCCCATTTGGTAGAGTAGTGCCTATTCCTTGGGGGTTGATGTTACCTTGTCGGGGTGAGTGATTCCTCCAACAGCAAATATTAGAAGATTAAAAACCCATTCATGCCTTCTCATCCTGTGCAACTCTTGTCCTTAGCCTGCCATGAATCCATTCATCATATTGAGGCCTCTAGATCTCTTGACATAATACCAATGGAGCATATAGACTTCCTGTTGATTATTTTTCTTGCTATATGACTGACCCAACTCCTTTTTCCCCTCCTATGTCTCTCCGATGACATTCTTGATGCTATTTTTTTCTGATGACACATTACAGCCTGCCGCCATCTACCATAGTCCTCTACATCATCCTCTGTGCTTTGAATATGTATCCCGGTTTTACAGTTTTGAGGGTGCCTAAGTTCAGAGGTGATGTGATTTGCCCATGCCACATAGCAAGCAAGCTTCATATCTGGGACTTGAACCGAGGTGCTACCTGCAAAACTATACATCATTGCCTCCCAGAATGGAAAAGTTGTAGTTCCTGATGAAATAAATAATAACAGCTCATAGATACAAAGTTCTTTCTAGTTTACAAAAACGCTTTCCTCACAACAACTCTAGACAGTGCTAGTGTCTAGATAGAATGAGCCTTGGTGAGGTCAAGTGAGCCTTGGCCAAGGTTGTACAACTAGTAATTGGCAGAGGCGATCTCAAACCAGGTCCTCTGACACTGAATCCAGGGCCTGTTCAATTACATTATGCTGCCAATCTGAACTTACAGTATTAATCATCTCCATAGCTACAGGTTCTTGCATGACAGAAGATGTTCTCATTCAGTTCTAACTGGCAATGGCCTCCTCCTTGATGAACGTCTGTGAAAAACTGCCATCTCAAGTACTTGTCAGCAAAGCAGGAAAATAGCTCTTTTCTGCATCTACCTCTGCTTTATGCATTGCACAATACCAATGCCTTAATGTAATCCATTTGCCCCCTGCTCTAGGATTTTCTATTTTCTAAAATGAAACTCATTCATTCGTAACATTCCCTTTCCCCCAGCCATTGTTCCTGTAGGATTCAGCACTTGGACACAGTTGCTGTTTGGGTTGGCACATTAACCAAACATAACATTGATGCCTGAAATATTGTCTGGGCCCATGGTCAGGCCAATGACAGATTGAGGAGGGAACATGGACAGGAGGCTGCCTCTGCAGGAAGATTAGGTGGAGAAGAGTTACTTGAGACCAAATAGCTATCTCATCAACGTTTGCTTGTCTGCTGTGTAACATTCTAGGAGTCTGCTACAGACTCCTTTTCCTGTCTGTTTCTTGGGATTTAGTTATCTCCATGAACGCTAACTTGAATCAACAGCCTTTATAATCTCTTGAATCATAACTTAGACTTTGAATTCTGTCCCTGGGTAAGTTCTTTCCCTTGGGCCCTGTATATATAATGCAGGAAGAAAAAGACTAGAACTGACGTTTCTTAAATATTCAGAGCAGCTGGGGCAAGGAATAGTTATCTGGGAGCAGAATTGTCATCTAGAGAGCTTCTGTATTTTTAATTATACATTCTCCATTTGGGGAATAAAGGCCCTATAGTAATTGATTAAATATGAATGACTTTAAGGTAACTTAAAACAATAATGATATTCCATAAGGTGGCCTTTATCACCATCACAAACACCACCACAAACTCATATTTCTATAATCCTTTAAGATTTACACAGCCACCCTTCAAGATGGTTCAGATAGTATTAT